AACCGTTGCCTCCTGTGCCGAAAAAAAAAACAATGGAGGGAAAAGCGTGCACAAATGCCCTGTCAAAAAAGTCAGCATCAGTGGATGAACACTGAAGCCGTGGTTGCATGCCCCACAAATGTCCTTCCTTTTTTAACCGCCTTCATCGTATCAAAGAAATGACTTGCAACCGCACACGCAAGAAAAAAACAAAAGGCGAGCAGCGCAGCCGTTGAAACACACACACGCGCATCGTATGAAACACTTCTTGGAGAGGAACGGAATGCAGGAAGAAGCGCACACAATTCCCACAGACACCCGCAATCGTGTGTGTTTGCATCTGTTCCACTCTTTGGCCCTCGATGCGCTCCTGTGCGTGTCTCGCCCGTGAGTCACACTGCCGTAGGGTGCCAAGTCCCTGCACAAACACACCTCAGGACGCGGCAGCGAGGCTCCCCAATGACCACCTCACGGCCATACCTTTTGGATATCTCATGGACCGAGCGCCTCTCGCTGCAGGCCACACCACACAAAACAAGCAGCACAATGCGCTGAGGAGTTGTGAGGGCTATCGTCCCACCACCGCCCAGATCAGGATGATTCTCCTCTTTGCCACCACACCCTTGAAATGGCCCGGCGTTTTTTCCTGCTGCTCCACTGTTTTGGCCACCACTCGCGCCATTTGGCCCCATCGCATGATCGCGCCCCATCGATGCCAACGACAGCTCAACCCGCAGCTTTCTCTTCCTGCCCGTCTCCATAATCATACAGGCATGCTTCAAAAACGTATCCTCGTCCGTCGCGGCGTTGCTCGCAGAGGCACTCGTGCTCTGTCCGCTCTGCGCCGACGCCGTGCTGTATTGCTGCACGCTCCCGGCCCTCCTCGTCACATGCTCAAGGCTCGCAAACAAATGGGCGTCGGGCGTCAGTCCACCGTATCGGATCAGCTGCTGCTTCTTGGCCTCCGTCAACTCGTCGGTGCTGCTCGCAGCCACAAGCAACAGGAGAAGACGCAGTCGCACTGGCCGGGGCATCGCGGCATCCCTCGTCAGGTGCCGCACGCCATCCAGGTTTTTCCTGAGGAGTTTGTGCCCAACGGCGATGTCTTGTTCCACCTCCCGCACCTCCGCCAGTCGCTTCTCCCGGTACTGTGCCACAAGCCTCGCGCAAATATCGATGTGCAGCCACAGTCTAGCTTGCTTCTCCCGAAACTCCGGCGAAGCCCGCACCGCACTGCCCAGCTCCGCAAGATTGGCCTTCGGCTCCACGCCCTGCGCCAATCCCGGGTGATACGCGTGGAGTTTTTTCAGCGCCACCGAAAGCTCCTCCACCCACTGCGCAAGAAAACAATGACGGTACGAGCACCAGTACACATCTTCCTCACCAATTACTGCCGCTTCGAGTCCTCACCCAGACAATTCCTACGGGTCTGGTCATACAATTTCTTCTCCAGCGGCATCAGGTCATCAAGCAGACACCGACATGTGCGTTGTTGCATCAGCGGCGTCACCATGGCACAGCCCCAATCAACGATGATCCGCACCGGGTTGCCGCGGCTGTCGGCGCCTCTAAGTGAAATCCGGCTCGTCGTAGCAAGGTCTGAAAAGCCCTCAAAAAAGTTCCAGGCAAGCCCATGGCAGATGCTGCCTCTGTTTTGGTGGCGAATGACAGGCACACTGTTGTTCATGGCGTGAATAGCCGCCACAGGACGTGACGCCGCAACAACCACAACGGACCATCAATTCGGAGGCGACAGCGGCGACAGCAGCTGAGGGAACCCATTCCGCATGCTGGGGTGGAACACCAGCACCTCAGGGGCGGCGAAGTCTAACATAATGTCCTTGGAACGCATCGCCCTCGGCGCTATCCAAGCCCACTGGAGTTGCTGAGGACTACGATGCGGGGTGCACCCCAACGCAAAGATGTGTGCATCCCTGTGCGGGACCTTTGCCATCCAATCCTCAACCACGCGGCTCACAGACGCATTCTCCACGGCAAAAAGTAGGGTGCAGGGCTACTCATAATCGGCTGCCGCGGCGTCATGGGGTTCTCGAGCAGTGTCACGCCGTGCTCCATGAGATCATGAAGACGCAGTGAGCTGCTCAGCGCAGACGCAGCATGGGCATCGCAGAAAAAAACTTTAAACAATCCACGAACGGCGTCAAGCATCTGATGGAATATATAATCCCGCACACAACCACAAACGCCATTGCTGGGCTCACGCGGCTGCCCCGCCTCCGTCGGCCTTGACCGCACCAACCCGCCCCACATAATATGTCAAGTACAAGTCACACAGACAATGTGATTGGATATGCGTGTGTGTGTTTGTCTTGTGTGTGCACATTTCACTCGCACCTTTTTTTGTATGTGCGTCTCAGAAAATCTAACAAACACACAAGCAATGCCATAATACCATACGGTGGCCCACATCGGCAACCAACACGGGAGAAGCTATGTGCATCGGAAGTACAACCAATCTCAAATAAAAAGTCAAACGGAGCCCATACAGTACATGCATATGGAGAACGGCACCGAATGAAATGGATGTTTCTCTATTGGGCATCCAGTTCTGGGTGCGGGCCACGCATGAGGAAGCGCAGTCGCCTCGCAGCGCAACGCCGTCCACACCGCAACTCGATGGAGTGTTGGCACGGCGACAGCAGTAGAGGCAAGCAGAAGAAGCAGCGGACAGGGACAAGCAGCAGCAACAGTGTCATCACCGGGAGTCGGAGGCCGGCCGGCCGTCCTTCTCGCTGCTTCGGTCCCTGCCGCCGAGAGAAGCTTATTGCGGTCTGTCGGGGCATCCCGTCTGGATCCACTTCTCCTCTGGCGACGGATGCTTCTGGGGAGCAGCCGTGTCTAAATCCTTCGGTGGGGTGCCGCAGCCAGTCTCAATGCTCTCCGCAACGGGGACGGATGCCCCTGGCAATCCTTCTTCAGTAGATGCCGGTGAGACCGTCCTGCTCCACACGCTCTCTCCTCGCCGTCCCACGGAAATATTGGAAGCAGCCTGCCGCTGTTGGCGGATATCGTGCACACCTGCGCGTGGTCACGGCAAATAGCGTTTCCCCTCATCGTAGCGCGGAGCGGCCCACGCAATCGTCGCTCCGTCCGTGCATGGGACACAACGGACGTTACCCTTTTCAGTCACTTCCAGATGCACCTGCATGCCGAGGCACCTCAATGCCGCATGCGTGGCAGCACTGAGATGTGTTTCCTTCGGGTCCCTCGCATCCATCGTCGTGTTGTTGGAGGCGTGTCCAGACACCACGAAGAGGGCCCATCCCCAGGCAACGCAGACAAATATTCTTCCCTCCAAATAACAGCGGCAGCATCCCTCACATCCAGTGCGGTATCAGTGGTGGTGCAACTTTCCGTCGGGCGTTTGGCTGACCTTTCATGGATACTCCTCAGACAGCAACCACTGGAATACCGATCCGACGTGAAGCATTTGACGGAAACGCCCAATGCGCAGAGCATGTGGCAATATTCACTCATGTTCAGTGCGGAGCGCTTCCTCTGCAGCAGCCGGCACAACCAATCGGTGCCATCCGCTCATCCCTCGCGTGGCGCTGCGAACAGTGCGACTCCAGCGTCCTCCCGTCCCCATCGCCATCCTGCAGCTCCATGCCATCAATTTCGTCGCAGCCGTGGTGCTCACTCGCTGCCATCGCGGCATTCGTCGAGTCCACCACCACCGACAACGCCCTGCCACGCACACCGACAACATTCCTCACCGTGCTGCGGCTGGCCATGTGCGGGCAGTCAAACCCGAGAGCATGGACCAACAAGTGCGCGGCGATGCGGGTGGCGATGCGTCCGTGAAATAAAACTGACATGCAAAGTGCATGGCACCAGCGACTGGACGGCCATCCTCCAGCGTGGCGCTCCGCAGTGCCCACACACCACCAAGCGTCGCAGCCACGCACAGCACCATCTCAGCATTGATAACACCAGTGGAACAATGCCCAGCACGCACCGTAAGCCGAATGCAACCGCTGCCCGTGGCAAATGGGGGCACAATCAACGGACACTCCAGTGGCTGCACGAGCAGACGATCCGCATGCAGTTTGAAAGCAGCAGGGACAACTTCATTCTCAAGAATGATCCCGTGCGCAGAGAATACAACGTCACGTCCACACTCGCAATTGTCATTCAATGAATTCATTGCGTAGTACCTCTCTGAGATCCAATGCTTCCCGGTATCATCCAGGTCCCTTGTGGATACGTTGATGCGGATGGGCATCCATCCCTCCCAATGACGGTGTATGGCTGCAGCGCACCAACTGCTCAAAAAGGGTGCGTCCCTCACAACAACGCGGATCCAATTCGTGCTGTCGGCACGCATAACATATTCAACAAATCGAGGGTACGTCAAAGTGACAGCAAAGCACCCGCTGGCAATCACACCATAAACATCATCACATGCAGCAGCACCAGCGTCTCAAACTAATGTGGGGTGTGGAGCAAGTAAGCCATTGATGTGGGTGTTAGGCAAATATTTCGTGGCTCGCTGAAGCAACGAGGACCGATTGCGTGGGAAGAAACAAAGAACAGGAGAATACAAAAGAGAAAATTCAGCCGTCCGCACTTTAGGAAGAAAACCAATCAATGAAAGTAAAATGGGTGCACCCAACAACAACATACGCAAAGATTCACAAAAAAAAGAAAAACAAAAAGCCGAAGCGTGGGACGACCAGCACACACTCATTGCTCCCGTAAAGCAAAACACACACACAGAGGGAGAGAGAGAGAGGTCGCCCACTCAATGCAATAAAAACAAAACAGAAACAGTTACGGTGCTCCGCCCATGCAGCCAGGCAGGACGGCAGCGGTGCGTGTCGTGCAGAAGAGAGCACCAACGGGCCTGCATGGGCGTGCATGCATATATACAATGGGCACATTATTGTGTGTGCTTCGTGGGGTGAGGTGAGGGCGAGAGTCCATGCAAGGGGACACACACACAGAGAGAGAAGGACGAGTGTGTGTGCGGGCGGTGCATGGCTCTCTCTCCCTCACTCTCACGCGGCCACCACCGCAGCAGCAGCCACACACGCAACAACAAAAAGAAGCAAAAGAGGGGAGATGTTTTGGGAGACCGAGGTGCTGCTGTCAACGTTTTCTGTATTTTCGGTGGTATTTTTGTTAACGGCATTTTTATCTTTTGCGGATTCTTCATCATTTTCTGCGGGGTGTTCATGCTGTTCTTTTTCTTCTTTTTCTTGTCTTGCGTCTTCATTGCTGGATGTCATTTCTGCGGGTTCGTCGGGTGGCGAGGAGTTGTGAGTTCCTGTCGCATCAGGCGACTGATCCTCTCTTGGGGACTCCCCTACTGTGTTAGATGAATTACTGTTTGGGGACCCCGCCTCACCATCACTGCTGCTAGGTGTAGAATCAACACCAGACGGAGAGAGAGGCACTGCAGAATCATTTTTACCACCACCAACACCACCAGAAGGACCAGAAGAAACGTCACCGGCATTATCACCCCCAGAAGCAGTTCCACCGGTTACTACAGAACCAGAACCTCCTCCTCCACCAGCACCAGGAAGACCAGAAGGTCCACCAGCACCAGGAGTCCCGGCACCAGCAAGACCAGAGTCACCAGGGATGGAGTTCTCACTTGAACCCGAATCGTTGACTGCTGAAACAATGGAATCTTCAGTCGAAGATTCCACGGCAGGAATGGGCAACGTTGACCGCAATGGCACCTTAATCACCGTTTTTTCAAATCCGCTCGACAAATGGAACTGATTCTCACCCAAAACTCCCGACGCAATGCAGCCGCCCAGTGATTTGTTATCACGATCCCTTGCATAAACCCCACCGGCACCGCACCACAGCACGCAGAGGGCACACACCAGCAGCACACGGCCAGTCATCATCATCGCCATCACTCCTGTCACTTGCGTGTAGCCTTCAGTACAAACTAACGCCACGTCAACGGAAAACGAAAGCAAAAGGAGAGACAAGTCACACAGTAACACTTACAGTAAACAACGGCACCAGAAGCACGCACGCCAACCTGCAAAACAGAAGTAAAAAAGCGATACCAAAACAAAAAAAAGTAGTTGAGTGCCCAAAAGGAGTCTCCTCCTCAAAAAAAAATGCACTTCAGCAGAATCATCATTTCATACGCCATGCAGCAAAGCAGGACTGTGTTTATATAATATGCGTACAGTATCTGCACAAGGAAAAAAATATTACTGTTCCACCAGCCCACACAACACCTTCACACTTCATTGCGGCATCCGGCGTGTTCCTCCAATCCTCCTTTCGTGCAGTCCGTGGGACGCACAGCAATGAGGCCGGCACCGCGTGTGGGCAACAAAAAACAAGGAGGAGAAACGCGTCACTCATGAGAGTGTGCAGCAGCCGACAATTAAATAAAGGAACAGCAACGATACGTATTATTCCAGGAAAACATAAAACCAACAGCAAAATGTAAATAATAAAAGAAAACACGAAGGGAACGCGGCACACGTTCTCTGCGAGGAGCCGCAATTCCACACTCTTCGGCTCACAAGTCCGTCACAACTCCACACAATCCCAGAAGAAGCAGCAACACCCAATACACGCGCACAAGCACAGTGCCGTCAACAGTTAACTCTCGCAGTGTCAATTTCGCGTCGTTGAGCAGGGCAAAGCAGTCGTCCTGTAGACTCACACCGCTCCCGGAATACTGCGCGGTGAATTCTCGTAATTGGGGTTTGTTGTCGTGTCCAGAGGCATTGCGTTGACTCAATCCGCCCGCATCACCCTCAGCAACAAATCCACTGACCGCAACGCCATTTCCTAAAACGAGAGATTTGTGTCCAGTGGCGTCGGGCTCACTCGCCTCGTCCGTGTTATCCGCAGCAACGTGTTCCCCGCTGCCATAATTGACAGACATGATCCCGGAGGCATTTAGCGCCACTAATATTCTCGGACCGTTGGCAAAGGAAGGCCTCTTCTTGGATGCATTCGGGAACATCATTTCGTTCGGATTGCTGGCAAACTCAGGCCTCGTCTCGGACGTGTTGATCGCCGTGTTGGATGCGGGACTCCGATCGACGGTGTTGGGTCCGTCAGCCGCCGCAGACCGTCGCCAATCCTCGTTCTGACGTGACGGCTCAGCATTCACTTGCGGCGCAGTTGTCCCACAGGATTTTGTGTCATCCTTCCCTTCACGGGGTGGCGGCAACTGACAGATGCCGTACGGTCAGCATCGCTGCTCCGTGCAGGCGTATGGATGGTTCCATCGGGATAAAATTGACGCCACCACAATTCATAAGGGCCGGCGTATTTATGCGTCGTCACATTCATCGTGGAGGCAACGGCGGCCCCTTCCTCCTTCCTTGCACAGCTGGCAGCACAGTTGCTACATGTGTGCACCGCATTGGCCACATGGCACACAGCACACAGCTCACCATCCCTGTCATGCATGCGCACATCAAAGCCACTCAAAGTATAATTCTCACACTCAGCCTCAGCACTGGCAGCAGAACACTTCCTCCACACACACACACAAGCACGCGATGGCTCAGGCTGCCGTCACTCGAAGCACACGACACATCCACCGGCAAAAACACCGCATCCGCAACACCAGATACATCTCCACGAATCCCAGCAACCGTCACGCACACGGACGAGCAGCAGCAGCACAAGAGCGCAAGGACCAACACGGCGCCGCACCGTCATCATTGCAGTCATCGTCACCCGTCGTGGAGTCGCTGGAGCCAGTCAGCCGATCGGTGAGGCAGAAGAAAAAGAATGCAACGAGGGGGAGATGGACAAAGTGCACAGCGGATACAGCGAGAGAGAGAGCAGACAACATGCGGAGAGGGCAGCAGGCCCAGCCGCACACTTCACACACCACGAGGCGGCATCCACGCAAGGAAGGCACACAACGCCAGCAGCCACCCACCATGCAGGAGGAGAAAACATCCACCACCATCTCCCCCAGCTCATTCCTGCAGCCAACGGGAAATGGCCAAAAGCCGCGGCAACAACACAACGCACACGGAGCGAGCACCCACCACACCAGCCACACGCGCCAGCGGACCCTCATCCATCCATGACGCGGCAAAAAAATTTCCAGCCATCCCGCCCTCAATGGGACACGGAGCCCAACTCAACGCAGTCACACGCGGTGCTCCACACCCGCAGGAAAGGAGACTCGGGCTGCGCGCTCCCTCTCCCTTCTCCTCATGGCCACGGAAGACAACAGCCGCCACACGCAACTGCCAGCATGCACTGCAAAAGAAGCATTCATATCCACTGCAATGTGCATCTTGTGTGTGTGTGGTTGTGTGTGCCTGCAGAAACACAAAGCAAAGAAGTAGAAAAAGGAAGCAGAGTATGTGAGGGGACGCACAAAATGTACAGCGGAGGTGCGTGGCGGAAGCAACAAGAAGAAGAACGCTCAAACTCATGACTGCAGTGCAGCCGAAGCAGCGGCAATTCACACAAGATTTATTTAAAACAAAAAAGCTACTTACCCTTCATCTTACACAAACCCCATCACACAAAATAATTATAAATAATAAAGAAATCGTCCATTACTGTTCCACACAAAGTCAAAAGACAGCCGGCTGCCGTGTGGCCACACCAAACTGTCTGTATATATTTTGCCCGCAAAATAAAATTAAAAGATATTTAAATGTCTTTCAGCCGTCTGACCCTCTGTGTGTCCGCACATCGTTTATATTCCATGGGGTCATCTGCGTGTTGCTGCTCCCCTCAGCCCTCCCATCGGCGCGTGAGTGCGGCCCGCAGAGCACAGTCACTCGTGTGTGTGGGGACTGAGAGAAGCACGCAGACATGACGGCAGTCGCGTCACTCCATCGGGAGAGTGAGCGCAGCAAAAAAAAAATCTTAAAAACACGGCGGCAGGGTGTGGCTGTGTGTGTGGCGCTGCGGGTGTCTGCCCGCCCTGGCCGCAAAAAAGGCAAAACAAGAGGGAAAGAAATGTGTGCTCCGCCCCACAGGCCCTCGTCGCACGCCCACACGTCACGGCTCCCTCAGCGCGCCGTTCGTCGCGGCCCCTCCTCATGCGTGCAGCAGGCGAGGCGCACAGGGCCGTCGTCATGAGCGTGTCGGTGGTGTGCGAGTGGAGCAGTTGGGCGGAAACACACGGCACCCCTCACAGGAAGAGTGCAGAAGAAACAATTAAAGAGGGAAGAGTAGAAAGAAAAAAAAACGTCCATATTGATTGCCCCCAAAAAAGCAAAAAAAAGAGGGATGTGAAAAAAGCAACAAACACATAAAAATGAAAAAAGAATTTTAAAACAAGAAAGAAGCAAACAGGAAAATAAATTTAAATACGCAAAAAAAAAAGATTTATGAGAGATATTAGTTCCCGGAGAAGGAATTCTCTGCTCGGGAGATCGCAGATATTCCACGCGGCAGCCAGTCACTTCTCACAGGGCCGCAAACACCCACAGTCCCAACAGAAGCAGCAGCGATGGCAGCAGTCCGCTCCCACGCACATTGCCGTCATCGCTGTTATTCCCCTGCGACAAATTTCCGAGGCTGCTGTTGAGTGCCGTGCCATTTACTTCCCTGACTTGTGAGTTGATTCCCTCCTGCCCATTTTTTTCTCCTACTGTCTCCCAATCCTCAGCGGAGCTCTCGCTCACCTCAGTATTCACTGTGGTTCCGTCTTGCCCCACGCCCATAGTTGTAGGACCATTTGCATCTTCTGCGTTGGCAAGGTTTCCCGTAGGAGTTTTGAGTTGTCCATCCTCCTGCGTTTTATCACCATATCCTGTGTCCACCGTTTGGTAGCCATCAGCAGTAGAACCGCCATCCACATTTTGATGCCCATCAGGAGATGTTCCTGATGCCAAATGCTTTACGGACTCCTTGCCTGCTGGGGAACTCGTTACAGTGGACACTGCGGATGCACCGCCCGCACCACTTTTCCCCAACGGCTGTCCTTTTTGCTTCTGCTGCTCAGCAGGAAAAGATTGAATCGCGTTTCCTTGACCATTTTTGTTCACCAAAGATAAAATGGAGGCTTCATTGGGATTGAGGGCTTCCATCTCATTGTCACCCTCCTCCTCCGCCTTCCTCTGGGCGTCAACGCTGTCACTTGTAGAGATGGATGATGGTGTTGAACCTCCTGAACGGCCTTTAGCTGCATCCTTCATCGAATCGGATGTGGTTGTTCCTTCACCGTGTTTCTCTGCCTCAGCATCCTCTAGACACGTTTCTGGTGCCTCGAGATCCGTTTTGGTTTGTGACGGCGGTGTGTTTCGCTTCTCTTCTACTGAATTCCGTAAGTCTGCTGGTGCTAGTGGGTTTTCTTTTGTTGGGTACGCCGGCACTGGCGGTGTTGGCGGTGATTGGGGGGGCGCTGGAGGTGTCTCTCTTCACCACCTCACTCTGCCCTTTCTCGCTTTCTGTTGCATCCTCATTAGCCTCTGTACCTCCTGCTTCTCCTTGTTTATCAGAGATGTGCGTTTTTGTTTCGGGACCTGACTTCTCCGGTGCCTTCACGATAGACGAATCGGACTGTCCAGGCGTTTTTGTTTGTACTGACGGACCACTTACCTCTGAAGATAACTCGTCCTCAGAATTGAGCGTTTCGCCAAGGGACTGTGAACCATCACCCTCTTCGGAAAGAGAATTTGAAGGAATACCACCAACAACAGAAAGAGGCTCCAAAGGGGAATTTACTTCAGGATCTCCATGTGAGCCACCCTCATTTCCAGCACTGTTGCGACCACCAGAGCTGCCAACAACAGCTGCAAAACCATCAGCGTGTCCAAAAACCGCACCGCACCACAGCACGCAGGGGGCACACACCAGCAGCACACGGCCAGTCATCATCATCGCCATCACTCCTGTCACTTGCGTGCAGCCTTCAGCACAAACTAACTCCTCGTCAACGCAGAGTGAAAGGAAAAGGAGAGACAAGTCACACGGCCACGCCACCAAACAGTGACAACAACAGCATCCCAGCAACACCAAAAGGCAGTTGGAATCAGTGAAAGGACAAAAAAGGCACATATACAGCCCTACAGTAATTAATAAGCAAGAAAACAAGAAAAACAAAACAATTAAAAACACAAGTAAAAAGGCAACAAAAAATTTAATAAAAGGAGCTGCACAGTATGGCGCCAGTGTGCATGCAATAGCACATAAAAATACGTCCACACATGTCGTGTGCTTGCCATGCACATGAGTGTGTCTGGGGTGCGTTCAACGTGACGGATACAGGTAGCAGAAACACGGAACACACAGCAGGGCAGAGGAAGCAAATGAGGCAAAACACACAATCATTATTTTTTATTATTTATTTACATCGGACCACAGTGGACGCACACAAATCCCCGTGGCTGAGTGCTGGCACGCACAGCCCGCATACACTTCTTCAGCCCAGAGCGGTGTACGCCAGCGCGGATACGGCGAGCAGCAGCGGGGCACACACCCACGCAGAGCTGCTGAGGCTGCCGTCGACTTCACGAAGACGTGACGGTGCGCGGGTGGTTGTAGTAGTTGGTGTCTCTGTAGTCGTGGTTGTAGTGCTCGTAGTGGTCGTGGTTGGTGCTAGTGTAGTCGTGGTCGTCGTGGTCTTCTGGGCGGAATCTTCTTCACTCTTATTTCTTTGTTCTGCAGACGAACTCGTTCCACTTTCTGTCTTTTTCTTATCATCCGTACCTTTTCCTTGTAAATTATTCAGAGCAGCATTTGGTTGCGGTTGTGGATCGGTCGCAGCTCCACCATTTCCGGCTTCGCTTCCTTGTTCAGTAACCGGCCCCGGAACTGTCGAACCTGGCTCACCGAGCGTCGTGGCCGGTGTTCCTCCAGGTGTATGGGACAATTGACCGGCGCCTTTACCATCAACTGGAGCTTCAGAAACTAAAGCCTTCTCAGGGATTGTCATACACACGGAAGGGCAGCAGGACAGGGCGAGCACCAACAGGGCGCACAGCAGACGGCACGTCATCATCGTGAGTGTGGTCGTTCAGTGGTGTGGAGCTGATCTGCACAGTGAGGGACATGGAGAGCAACAGGGGAGACGAGAGGTGCGGCAGACACACACAGAGGGCACACCACATGAGGAGAGGACAGCAGCCAGGCATGCACCGTACGCCGCACACCACGCACGACACACACTCCAATCCACGGCAGCAGGCACACACACACACAGCCCTGCCGCAACACCAACACACAGATGGAGGAGGGAGAAGCAAACAGGAGCGGCACACAAGGCTCCACCGCATGCACATACGGCGAGAGCGGCCCGTCGTGTCGGCACCCCTCACGGAGGATACACACACACAAGAGGAGGTGCAGCGCACACAGCAACACAAAAGCAAAGTAACAATAAAAAAGGGAATGATCCGCGCACACCACGTGAATTGTTGGTCCACGGGAGGTGCAGCCAATATTCATCACAAAAACAATTCAGTTGCCCTCGGCCCTCGTTCATATTCATCGCACACCACTTCATGCAGGCCTGTGCACCATCGCAGCAGCGGAACGCATACGTGACAATAAGATGCAAAGGATAGGAGGTGGTGTGGAGACCGCGGTGGTGCTTTATCTGTCGGCGGTGGTGGTTGTTCCTTTTTCATTGTTGGTGAATGATGTTGTCGTGAATACTTCCGGCTGTTTGACTAGGAGTGATGTTAAAAGACAATTGGTTCCCTGGCAGTCATTTGATTCCTCTCCTATCCCGTCGATTTCTGTGCTCGGTGGTGGTTTGGGTGGGACGCTGACAGGGCTGCCAGCACCATCTGACTGAAATTGTTCTGCCGTGTTCTCGTCCCCAGTCCCACTGCACCAGCTGCTGGGGGCGGTGCAGCGGTCATGCAAGAAGCACCAGCAATGGGCTGGGGTGCCGGCCGGATCAATCAATGGGTGTGTCCGCAAGCAACAGGAAATTGCATCGACAGGGAGTCTGCACCAAAGCTCGGGAATGGGGAACAGTGGCGCCAAACAGAACAGTCCATGTCACCCCGGAAAATCCGCAAGGCGTGTAGTCGCATGAAGCTGCGTTGTGGTCTCGTGGCGACGGAAATGAATGGCGGTGCTGGTGGCGTCCTCGTCGTGCGTCACCTCCTGCCAATCCTCGCGGTAAACCCATTGCCTGAGTGCATTTGATTCCGCCTGAGAAGCCAATTAAAAATGTTCTTCCGGTAGATGTATTGTACTCGCATTTGGCCACAGTCGCCCACAATGTCTCCAGCGGATACACCTGCGATGCACGGTCGACACAATCCACATCCACTCGTCGTGCATCATCCAACACCATCTTTTCCTTGGAGCTATGAACAACACCGGGCACACACTCCTTTGCGGCCGTCCACGGCATGCGCCTGCGGTGAGAATCCGGAGAAAGTCCCATTCCTTTTGTGCACAAAGTCATGGAGCTGCCGCAGTCAAGCGCGTCCCGGCGAAGGAAACAACAGCCCGCCGCAGCACTCACGAATGCCCACCCGTTGACTCCTGTGCAAAAAAAATAAACATTGGAGGGAAAAGCGTGCACAAATGCCCTGTCAAAAAAGTCAGCACCAGTGGATTAACACTGAAGCCGTGGTTGCATGCCCCACAAATGTCCTTCCTTTTTTAACCGCCTTCATCGTATCAAAGAAATGACTTGCAACCGCACACACAAGAAAAAAGCAAAAGGCGAGCAGCGCGGCCGTTGAAACAAACACGCGCATCGTATGAAACACTTCTTGGAGAGGAACGGAATGCAGGAAGAAGCGCACACAATTCCAATGGACACCCGCAATCGTGTGTGTTTGTGTATTTCCCACTCTTTGGCTCTCGATGCGTTCCCGTGCGTGTCTCGCCCGTGAGTCACAGTGCCGTAGGATGCCAAGTCCCTGCACAAACAGACCTCAGGACGCAGCAGCGAGGCTCCCCAATGACCACCTCACGGCCATACCCTTTGGATATCTCATGGACCGAGCGCCTCTCGCTGCAGGCCACACCACACAAAACAAGCAGCACAATGCGCTGAGGAGTTGTGAGGGCTATCGTCCCACCACCGCCACCCAGATCAGGATGATTCTCCTCTTTGCCACCACACCCTTGAAATGGCCCGGCGGTTTTCCTGCTGCTCCACTGTTATGGCCACCACTCGCGCCATTTGGCCCCATCGCATGATCGCGCTCCATCGATGCCAACGACAGCCCAACACGCAGCGTCCTCTTCCTGCCCGCCGTCTCCATAATCATACAGGCATGCTTCAAAAACGTATCCTCGTCCGTCGCGGCGTTGCTCGCAGAGGAACTCGTGCTCTGTCCGCTCTGCGCCGACGCCGTGCTGTATTGCTGCACGCTCCCGGCCCTCCTCGTCACATGCTCAAGGTTCGCAAACAAATGGGCGGCGGGCGTCAGTCCACCGTATCGGATCAGCTGCTGCTTCTTGGCCTCCGTCAACTCGTCGGTGCTGCTCGCAGCCACAAGCAACAGGAGAAGACGCAGACGCACTGGCCGGGGCATCGCGGCATCCCTCGTCAGGTGCCGCACGCCATCCAGGTTTTTCCTGAGGGGTTGGTGCCCAACGGCGATGTCTTGTTCCACCTCCCGCACCTCCGCCAGTCGCTTCTCCCGGTACTGTGCCACAAGCCTCGCGCAAATATCGACGTGCAGCCACAGTCTGGCTTGCATCTCCCGAAACTCCGGCGGAGCCCGCACCGCACCGCTCAACTCCGCAAGATTGGTCTTCGGCTCCACGCCCTGCGCCAATCCCGGGTGATACGCGTGGAGTTTTTTCAGCGCCACCGAAAGCTCCTCCACCCACTGCGCAAGAAAACAATGACGGTACGAGCACCAGTACACATATTCCTCATCAATTACTGCCGCTTCGAGTCCTCACCCAGACGATTCCTACGGGTCTGGTCATACAATTTCTTCTCCAGCGGCATCAGGTCATCAAGCAGACACCGACATTTGCGTTGTTGCATCAGCGGCGTCACCGTGACACAGCCCCAATCAAAGATGATCCGCACCGGGTTGCCGCGGCTGTCGGCGCCTCTAAGTGAAATCCGGCTCGTCGTAGCAAGGTCTGAAAAGCCCTCAAAAAAGTTCCAGGCAAGCCCATGGCAGATGCTGCCACTGTTTTGTTGGCGAATGGCAGGCACACCGTTGTTCATGGCGTGAATAGCCGCCACAGGACGTGACGCCGCAACATCCACAACGGACTCTCAATTCGGAGGCGACAGCGGCGACAGCAGCTGAGGGAACCCATTCTGCATGCTGAGGTGTAACACCAGCACCTCACGGGCGGCGAAGTCTAACATAATGTCCTTGAAACGCGTCGCCCTCGGCGCCATCCGAGCACAATCGAGTTGCTGAGGACTACGATGCGGGGTGCACCCCAACGCAAAGATGTGTGCATCCCTGTGCGGGACCTTTGCCATCCAATCCTCAACCACGCGGCTCACAGACGCATTCTCCACGACAAAAAGTAGGGTGCAGGGCTACTCATAATCGGCTGCCGCGGCGTCATGGGGTTCTCGAGCAGCGTCACGCCGTGCTCCATGAGATCATGAAGACGCAGTGAGCTGCTCAGCGCAGACGCAGCATGGGCATCGCAGAAAAAAACTTTAAACAATCCACGAACGGCGTCAAGCATCTGATGGAATATATAATCCCGCACACAACCACAAACGCCATTGCTGGGCTCACGCGGCTGCCCCGCCTCCGTCGGCCTTGACCGCACCAACCCGCCCCACATAATATGTCAAGTACAAGTCACACAGACAATGTGATTGGATATGCGTGTGTGTGTTTGTCTTGTGTGTGCACATTTCACTCGCACCTTTTTTTGTATGTGCGTCTCAGAAAATCTAACAAACACACAAGCAATGCCATAATACCATACGGTGGCCCACATCGGCAACCAACACGGGAGAAGCTATGTGCATCGGAAGTACAACCAATCTCAAATAAAAAGTCAAACGGAGCCCATACAGTACATGCATATGGAGAACGGCACCGAATGAAATGGATGTTTCTCTATTGGGCATCCAGTTCTGGGTGCGGGCCACGCATGAGGAAGCGCAGTCGCCTCGCAGCACAACGCTGAACACACCGCAACTCCATAGAGTGTTGGCACGGCGGCAGTAGAGGCAAGCAGAAGAAGCAGCGGACAGGGACAAGCAGCAACAGTGTCATCACCGAGAGTCAGGGGCGAGGCCTGCGTGCCTTCCGTCTCGCTGCTTCGATTTCTGCCGCCGAGAGAAGCTTATTGCGGTCTGTCGGGGCATCCCGTCTGGATCCACTTCTCCTCTGGCGACGGATGCTTCTGGGGAGCAGCTGACTCGACATCCTTCGGTGGTGTGCCGCGGCCGGGATCAATGCTCTCCGCAACGGGGACGGATGCCCCTGGCAATCCTTGTTCAGTAGATGTCGGTGAGACCGTCCTGCTCCATATGCTCTCTCCTCGCCGTCCCACGGAACCACTGGAAGCAGCCTGCCGCTGGTGAAAGATATCGTGCACACCTGCGCGTGGTCACGGCAAATAGCTTTTCCCTCATCGTAGGGTCGAGTGGCCCAAGTGCTCGTCGCTCCGTTCGTGCATGGGACACAACGGGCGTTACCCTCTTCAGTCACTCTCAGGCGCACCTGCACGCCGAGGCACCTCAATGCCGCATGCGCTGCAGCACTCAGATGCCTCTTCTGGGTCCCTCACATCCGTCGTGTTCGTGGGAAGCGTGTCCAGACACCACGAAGAGGGCTTGTCCCCAGGCACCGCAGACAAACATTCTCCCCTCCAACTAACAGCGGCAGCATTTCTCACATCCAGTGCGGGACCAATGACGGGGCAACTATCCATCGGACGTTTGGCTGAGCTTCATGGATACTCCGTCTACACAGCAACCACTGGAATAACGATCCAACGTGCAGCGTCTGACGGGAATGCTCGCTTCGCAGAACATCTGGGGATATTCACTCATGTTCGGTGCGGAGCAATTCCTCTGCAGCAGCGCACAGAACGAATTCCTTCACCAGCGCATCGGCTCCGCCATCACCCACTTCACCCTCATGCAGCCCAGGTCAGCCGGTGCGGCCAGCGTTAGCTCCGTGCGGCAGCCGGCACAACCAATCGGTGCCATCCACTCATCCTTCGCGTGGCGCTGCGACCAGTGCGACTCCAGCGTCCTCCCGTCACCATCGCCATCCTGCAGTTCCATGCCATCAATGTCGTCGCAGTCGTGGTGCTCGCTTGCAGGCATCGCGGCAGTCGTCGAGTGCACCACCACCAACAGCGCCCTGCCACGCACACCGGCAACATGCCTCGCCATGCTGCGGCTGGCCATGTGCGGGTGGGTGAACCCAAAAGCATGGGCCATCAAGTGCGCGGCGATGCGTCCGTGAAATAAAACGGCCGGGCAAAGTGCATGGCGCCAGCGACGGCACGGCCATCCTCCAGCGTGGCGCACGGCAGTGCCCACACACCACCAAGCGCTGCAGCCACGCACAGCACCATGTCAGCATTGGCAACACCAGTTGAACGATGCCCAGCAGGCACCGTGAACCAACTGCAAACGCTGCCCGTGGCAAATGGGGGCACAATCAACGGACCCTACAGTGGCTGCACGAGCAGACGATCCGCATGCGGTTACACAGCAGCAGGAACAGTTTCCTCGGCAAGAGCGTTACCGTGCGCAGAGGATAGAACACCATCCTTAGAGTGGCGATTTTCATTCAATAAATTCATTGCGTGAGGCCACGAGAAGTCGCAGTGCCTCCTGCTGTCACACGGGTCCGTTGTTGACGCCTTAATTCCTATGGGCACCCATGGGTCCCTCCAAACGCCGCTGCACACCTGCAACGCAACCAGCGCCCTGAGATGCATTCTCCCCACCGCAACCGAAATCGACCTCGCCGTGGGAGCGCACAACATCGTCACGGAATAAGGAATAATTCAGGGTGAAAGCAAGCGCTGACAAATCACATCGCAAAGATCATCACAAACAGAAGAAGCACCGGTAGTGATGCAGACCGTGGGGTTAACGTGGATCAAATGAAGCATGGCGTATGTAAACAAAAGCTAATTGACTCGAGAAGAATACAACAGGCTGGCACTCTCCCGGAAGAATAGAAACAACATGAAACAAAAAAAAATTCAAGCCTCCAAAGTCAAAACAAACTGCCAATCAAAAAAGAGTGTAAAAGGTGCACTCAACCACAACACAATTAAAACAACGAAAAAAAAAAAAACAAAAGCGTGGGACGACCAGCACACACACTCTCATTGCTCCCGTAAAGCAAAACACACACACAGAGGGAGAGAGAGAGAGGTCGCCCACTCAATGCAATGAAAACAAAACAAAAACAGTTACGGTGCTCCGCCCATGCAGCCAGGCAGGACGGCAGCGGTGCGTGTCGTGCAAAAGAGAGCACCAACGGGCCTGCATGGATGTGCATGCATATATACAATGGGCACATTATTGTGTGCCTCGTGGGGTGAGGTGAGGGCGAGAGTCCATGCAAGGGGACACACACACACAGAGAGAGAAGGACGAGTGTGTGTGCGGGCGGTGCACGGCTCTCTCTCCCTCACTCTCACGCGGCCACCACCGCAGCAGCAGCCGCACACGCAACAAGAAGAAGAAGCAAAAGAGGGGAGGTGGTGTGGGAGACCGCGGTGCTGACGTCACTGTCTGCTGTGGTCTCTGTATTGCTTGTTATATTGGTGGCGTTGTTTGCTGCCGTGGGCACTTCACTGTTGGCTGCTGCGGTTTCGGTTGTGCCTGAATCGGCATCAGAGTTGGTTTTGAAAGCATTCTGCTCCACGTCGTCGGTGGATAGCTTGACGCCGTCCTTGCTGAATTCACTCGCATCTTGAGTGGTTGTCGTGGTGGCTGTGGCAGTGTTGGTCCCTACAGCTGGTGAGGCTGCAAGGCTGCCGCCACTGTCGGCATTATTCTCCTTTTTTGTGTTGGTAGTGTTGAGTGCTGCTGTTGTGGATCCTGCGCTGTCAGTGTCGGCAGCAGTATTGACATGCGGTGCGGTTTCAGGTGAAGAGGTGTTCTCATCAACAGAGGTCTGAGTGTTGATACTGGCGGAGTCAGGCTGTGCAGTTCGACTTTTGCTGCCATCGTTACCAGTTAACGTATTCGGCATATTATCTCTCTGCACTGTGCCAATGCCGACACCATAGATATCTGCTGAGCTCACTGTCTCCTGGTTTGCCTTTGATGGTGAGGGTAAGGATGAATGTTCTGCTGACATCGTAACTTTGGGTTCTTTTACTGTTGCTGGTTCTCTCGATAACGTTTCTCTATCCTGAAGCCTTTCCTGTAATTCCTGGTCTTTCAGAGTCATATCCTTTTCTGAAGAAGCAGGAATCCCGCTGTTTTGAACTTCATTATTTTCGCCTTGGCCAACGGGATCCAAAGAAGAATCAATTACAACTTCTGGGCCCTCAGTGCACTTCGGCGACTTTGTTGAATCATTCTTGCAGGACTCTTGCTCCGGCAAATTCACCGGATCATGATTATCGTCATCCTCTAAAGGTTTTGAGTCTTCAACTTTATTACTTTTTGGCAAATCACCGCCTTTTGTGGGGACCGGCGCAATTATGGGATTGTTGACTCCAGACTCAGAAGGAGCGGTTACCGAATTTTCACATCTACCGCCGGCACCGCACCACAGCACGCAGAGGGTACACACCAGCAGCACACGGCCAGTCGTCATCATCGCCATCACTCCTGTCACTTGCGTGCAGCCTTCAGCACAAACTAACTCCCCGTCAACGCAGAGTGAAAGGAAAAGGAGAGACAAGTCACACGGCCACGCCACCAAACAGTGACAAATACCAGCAGCAGAGGCAGCGCACACACCATGAGGCAGTTAGAATCAGTGTGAGGGGAAAAAACACAAACATACACAGCCCCTCAGCAATTTATCAGCAAAAAAAAACAAAGTTTTGGAAACAAAACACCATTAAAAAAGCATAAACAAAGTAAGAAAAAGTAAAACCACACAACAAAAAAACTGCAGCAAATGGCTCCGGCTTACGTACAACAGCGCAAAAAAAAAAAATGCGTTCAAACACAAGACTCCACTGCGCATGCATATGAGTGTGTCTGGGATGCGTTCAACGTGACGGATGTGTATAACGGCATGGACCACACAGCAGGGCAGCGAAAGCAAACAAAGCAAAAACACACAATCATTATTTTCTCTTACTTATTTACATCGGACCACAGTAAACGCGCACAAATCCCCGTGGCTGAGTGCTGGCACGCACAGACCGCATACACCTCTTCAGCCCACAGTGGTGTACGACAGCGCGGATACAGCGAGCAGCAGCGGGGCACACACCCACGCAGAGCTGCTGAGGCTGCCGTCGATTTCGCGAAGACGTGACGGTGCGCGGGTGGTTGTCGTGGTTGGTGCCTGTTCATTAACTTCTTTACCAACTAGCGCCACTTCTTTATTATGCTCCGGATTCTTTACAGCTGACTTATCGGAGTCACCTGTTGATCCTGGTGAAAGGTTATTTTCTTCTGATCCCCCTGGCTGACCAGACGCACCTCCTCCATCTTGCGAAGTGGGTAGTCCACTTGTTCCTTCTGTACCTGCCGATGTTGGAGTTGGTGGAGCAGAAGCGGTATTCGATGGTCCCTCTGAAGGAATTGGCTTATTATCTGAACTGTGCTCATCATCTTCCGTGACTTTTGCTCCTGGATTATCGGAACCGCTTGAACCCCATGAATCTTGGGGCGTTGCACCCTGTCCAGCTTTCTCAGCTTTATCTTCACTCCCTGCCGCGCACACGGACGGGCAGCAGGACAGGGCGAGCACCAACAGGGCGCACAGCAGACGGCACGTCATCATCGTGAGTGTGGTCGTTCAGTGGTGTGGAGCTGAGCTGCACAGTGAGGGACATGGAGAGCAGCAGGGGAGACGAGAGGTGCGGCAGACACACACAGAGGGCACACCACATGAGGAGAGGGCAGCAGCCAGGCATGCACCGTACGCCGCACACCACGCACGACACACACCCCAATCCACAGCAGCAGGCACACACACACACAGCCCTGCCGCAACACCAACACACAGATGGAGGAGGGAGAAGCAAACAGGAGCGGCACACAAGGCTCCACCGCATGCACATACGGCGAGAGCGGTCCGTCGTGTCGGCACCCCTCACGGAGGATACACACACACAAGAGGAGGTGCAGCGCACACAGCAACACAAAAGCAAAGTAACAATAATAAAGGGAGAGATCCCCGCACACCACGTGAATTGTTGGTCCACGGGAAGTGCAGCCAATATTCATCACAAAAACAATTCAGTTGCCCTCGGCCGTCGTTCATATTCATCGCACACCACTTCATGCAGGCCTGGAAATCACCGCAGCAGCAGCAGCACACTCAAAAATAAGCGCAAGGAATGGAATAATGCAAGCAATCATTTATTTGTGTTTCTGCTTGAATGCTGACAGATGTCTGCATGCGCTTCGTTGTGTTTTTTTGGAGGGTAAACTCTCATGCCTGGGTCGTGTGTTGGGGATTTCTGCAGGGTGGACAATTATTTATTTTCCTTTCCTCCTGTGAATGTTCCTTGTGTTGTTGCGGTCAACAGTTCGGTTTGTGTTCTTCCTGCCTTTCGCCGGTAAAGTGTTGCAATAGATGTTTGTTTTTCCCTTCGTTGCTGTGGCTCCTGATTCCTCACCGTTTATTGCGGTGGAAATGAAAATATGTGAGTGGACTCCCACGCACCAGAACGCACCTTCGCTCCTATTTGTTGGTGCATGGAAGGGCATGTGTGTTTGGTGGTGCCTCGTCCATATATTTTGTGGGTGCACATTCCCCTGCAGGCTGAGGGCGGGATGACGCTCCGTCGCAGTGCACTTCCCTCGCATGCCGCCCACTGTGATTCATCATGCATCACCCCCTCACATACTCCGTGGTGCCACACCGTTGATATTATTGCAGCCGCTGTGATTCCGCGTACTTCACGCATTTGATTGTGCCACAATACATCCGCTCGTGTGGCCGCCGCATCCAAGCAGCGGTGCCCAAAACCGTGAGCGGCAGTCCACATCCCTGCATGTCCCAACGCTGTGGTGTTGGACTGTCAGCCAGGCGCCAGACAACAAGAAAGTCTTGTGCTGGCAGTACAACACACGGAGCTGCGGTGAATGACTCGGGCGGCGACGCATCTATTCGTCGCAATGCAGTGAAAAGGGGTCGGGCAAAATAATGCCGGCTGCATTCACGACACCACATCCACAGCAAGGCATGCGACGTGGTGTGTGTTTCACAGGTGCTGTGAAATGCCTGCGGACGACGTCACTAGTGGAGGCATGCCACCCATGATCAGCGGACAGACAATAATCGGCATGGGAGGCCACAACGACGCCAGCAGCAGGAGCAGCTCCTTCTCTCTCTCTGTTGCCTCCGAGAAGTAAATATTCCACCACCCACAGCCGGCTGTGCCATCGCGACACTCCATGCACGTCGTGGCTGCGTCAACACATCCTGTTCCCTGCTGCGCCTCAAAAGATGCCTCACTCCGTCCACTGAGTGCATCGATGTGGGCCGTGCCTCGGCTGTTCTTGAGGACCACAACGATGTGAGGGTCACCGAGTCGCAGCATGTTTGTTGTGACGTTGTTGCGTGGCACCTGCACACACACACGCAGCGCCTGCATCCCTCCCTTTTGTGTCCGCCCTCTGCCGGAGTGGCCACACACACGGGCAGCAGCAAATTCATTTCACCCTCGACGACCTAAAATCAACACCGACATCCCTCGCGACGCAAAGATCTCAGTTGCCAGCACGGCCCTCCTGTCGCCCTGCCATCGACGCTGAAGCACGGCACAGTGCACGCAATTATTTTCCTCGTGTGCAGTCAGCCGTTTGCCTCACACATTCTTCGATGGGCTGACGTCCATAAAAGCACGCCACAAAAGGCCACTGTGATCGCACACGCTCTTGCGATGAGCGTCGGTGCGTGCATGGATTCGCTGCTCACACGTGCTGGCAGGCAGCCTGCAGCCGGTGCCCTCGTGCCAGTTCATCGGCTCCAGCACGGAAAAGAGAAAATGGCCTATTCCCGATGCACTTATTCCCACCAGCAGCACCAACACGCTGGTCGCCAGCCGTCATTCCTCAGCACATCCAGGAATGCTGAAAAGTGCCGTGGAGCTGTCAGCCAGCAATGCCACAATCCCGCACACATGTCGGCTCCACCAGAGAAGACACACAAACCACAAACAACACCCTCCACATGTCATCCGAACATCATTCCGACATACCGCGACACGCCAAACAGAAGTATTCGTCACCCCAACGCTCCTCCCCACACAATCACATGGTCCATGCACCACGCACGGCAGCAGCCCACACGCGGTCAAACAAATGTTCCTTCGGATCAGTGTTATCGACGTGGTGCGGTGGGAAGCAAACAAAAGAGACGAGCCGCCAAACCCCAAAAGAGTGCCACGACTGGCCGCAAGTCAACGGAACGCAGCCACTCAAATGAATTCAGTCCTCATGCCCTCAACTTCCCACCTTCCCCACAAAAGACCCAATAACCGCAAATGAAACGCACCGTCCAATAAATTGCTGTAAAACACCAGATTAAGCCGCAGTGCTTTATGTTGTAATCCGAGGACATTGTTGTCGACTTCACGGAGGCAGGCGCACATCTGTTATTCACAACGACGCTGAACACCTGCAAAGACTTCTTCAGAAACTCAATGCTCCTACCAAATCAGAAAACGCCAATGCACCATCGGTCCGTACCAAAATTTAAAAAACAGCAAAATTCTTCACACAGACACCAAAGCAGACCGCACCACGCCGCCGTCAGCCGCGGCTGGGCGCAGGAGCTGTGGCGTTCCATCACACCATGCGGTCCTTTCTGGTTGGATGCGTCCACAGTGCGTTGCACCACGGCGGCAAAGACATCGCTCCGTGTTTGGTCCCATTCACCTCCACAGCCCGGAAGTGCGGCACGGCGACAGCTGCACGGCATCGCTCGGCCCACGCGCATCATCGAAGGATACTTCTGTCCACCTGGCCGCCAATCCAGCACCGCTGCGGAGGATCGTCGGTTCCCGGGCACCACGGAGCACGAACGCCTCACAATTCTCCGATATATTGAGGACGTGCGTGGCGCAACCTGCTTAGAAACCGCACCCTCGTCAATACTTGGGAAGGCCGCGACGAGTATTCTGCTCCCGGGAGATGCCGTCCTCAAGGAATTGCGACGCGTCTGCGGTCACATGGAGATCTCCCGGGCCACATCCACGCCCCTCATGCTGGGCAGCGCGTTGTTACCTTGACACTGTGAGCCGCAACGAGGCGGGCGTCCTCCGGCCACGGCACGCCAAGGACGCCCTGGACGGTGTCAGACGATCGGCCCTTGAAGCGGCCTGCGTCTCTCTGGGACCGTACGACGCAGGCCGCTGGACGGACGGCTCGTCTTCTCTCGTTGAGCATGCGTCTGGGTCCGCTGCGCTGCCACTTGGCTCCCCGGACAGCTGCGCTGCCACTTGGCTCCCCGGACAGCCGCGCTGCCTGTGGGGCCTCACCGCGCAGCTGCTGGCAGCCTTGCGTGCTCCTGCCGAGCGGAGCGTCCTGCCACCGATCATGGCCACAGACAGTTCCCAGTTCCCCGTCTGGCAGCAGCATCCCAATCGCCCACACGAGTTCCTGCTGCCACAGACTCCCTCTCGGCGATGGAGTCGCTCCGCCTTGGCTCGCTGGCGGTGCGCGACGGCGTCGCCGAGAAGATTTGTACCGTGCCGCTTTCGCTGGCGGATCGGGGTTGCACTGTTGGCTCCACATTTTCCCATGACACCGCGGAGTGCCACGCAGCGTGACAGCGGACGCCAACGCCATCATTGCGCGATCCCTCCCGCAGGACTGCGTCAATGCCTGGCACGTGGGCTTCCTCACTGCAGTGAAGCGACGGGATTGGAGGGAAGACAAGGAGGAAAAGGAAGGCGCGCACACCGCATGACAGGCGCTTGTCGGTGTGGCAGGACTCCATTCCTGGTTTCAACTCGGACATCTTTCCCGAGTGGCGGCTCCGCGCACAGGCGTGATGCGACTCCTGCCCACTCTTCGACAGGTCTGCACGCCCTGCGGATCACAAGGAACCCTCTGTGTCGGTGGTGCCGCCCTTTCTTCACTGCGGTGACCGGCCCGCCTCTGCCTCCGCCGGAACCTCTTCCAGGCGTGAGCGCTGCAACTCCTTGCCGACCAGCGAGTGGCGGATTGACGTCCTCCTGCCCAACCTGCGGCAGAGTGCGCTTGTCCGTCCACAGTATGAGGGCACATGCTCGACGTACTCGGCCTGGCGTTATAATAGTTTGACGGGCCTCACAAGCGGATGCCACAATGGCTCCACCGTCTTCTTAGCAGATTCCTCGTGCGCAGGTCGCCACCGAAGTCGCAAGCATGCTAGCAGGCAAGACACGCAGGAAGCAAAAGCACGCGGGTACTCGAGATGGACCAGGCTCTTCCGCCACCGCTGTATCACAGACGCCACGGGCTGCTGATCCCCGACGGACCACGGGAGACTCCGCCTCATCCACCGTGGTAATGCCGCGTCATTGAGAATATGGACTGCGACTGTTTTGGACTGCCCCAGCGTGCACGACGGCCCGTTTGCGACGGCATGCTTGCCACTTTTGTACGGACAGCCCTTGCGCTATTTACTCATTATTGTAGCAAAATAGAAAGAAATGGAAAACAATATAAAAAGTTATTTTTGTGATGGATATTGGCTGCAATTCTCGTGGACCAACAATCCACGTGGTGTGCGGGGATCTCTCCCTTTATTATTGTTACTTTGCTTTTGTGTTGCTGTGTGCGCTGCACCTCCTCTTGTGTGTGTGTATCCTCCGTGAGGGGTGCCGACACGACGGACCGCTCTCGCCGTATGTGCATGCGGTGGAGCCTTGTGTGCCGCTCCTGTTTGCTTCTCCCTCCTCCATCTGCGTGTTGGTGTTGCGGCAGGGCTGTGTGTGTGTGTGCCTGCTGCTGTGGATTGGAGTGTGTGTCGTGCGTGGTCTGCGGCGTACGGTGCATGCCTGGCTGCTGCCCTCTCCTCATGTGGTGTGCCCTCTGTGTGTGTCTGCCGCACCTCTCGTCTCCCCTGCTGCTCTCCATGTCCCTCACCGTGCAGATCAGCTCCACACCACTGAACGACCACACTCACGATGATGATGACGTGCCGTCTGCTGTGCGCCCTGTTGGTGCTCGCCCTGTGCTGCTGCCCGTCCGTGTGCGGGACAGCAAGTGAAGGTGAAGTTGGTGAATCTGTTTCAAAGGTTGAAGAGGAAGGGGAACCAAAGCCAGGGGGAACAGGTCCGGAGACGAATCCGCAAAGTACAAGTTCTCTCTCGCCACAGCCAAAAGAGGAGAAAAAAGAAGAAACGAGGGGGAGTAATGAGGTGCAGGAAACAAATCCGTCGACTCCTATGTCACAGTTAACGGCTGCATTAACCGGAACGGCAGAGTCACAAAATACTTCCAATAATACGCAGGATCAGGAAAAAGATGGGCAATCCACCAATGATGAGGCGGATGGTGATGAGACCGATAAGGCAAATGAACAAAATCAAAAAACAAATGCAATAAATACGACAACCACCACTACCACGACGACCACGACAACACAGGCACCAAGCACTAAGACTACAGAGGCGCCAACCACGACGACCACCCGCGCACCGTCACGTCTTCGCGAAATCGACGGCAGCCTCAGCAGCTCTGCGTGGGTGTGTGCCCAGCTGCTGCTCGCCGCATCCGTCACGTTGAACGCATCCCGGACACACTCATATTCATGGCACGCTTACAAATTTTTACGTGGACGCATGTTTGTGTGAGTGCACGCACACTGGAGCCATTTGGTGCAGCTTTTTTGTGTGTTTTTGCTTTATTGCTGTTTGTTAAATGTTGTTTCGTTTTTAATTGTTTCTTGTGTGTTTTTCTTGCTGATGAACTATTGCGAGGCTGTGTGTGTGTTTTTTGTCCTCCCACTGATTCCCACTGCCTTATGGTATGTGCGCTGGGCTGCTGCCATTTGACACTTTGCGGTGGTTGTGCGTGGTTGCGTGACTTGTTTCTTCTTTTGCTTTCACTCTGCGTTGACGAGGAGTTAGTCTGTGAAGGCTACACGCAAGTGACAGGAGTGATGGCGATGACGATGACTGGCCGTGTGCTGCTGCTGTGTGCCCTCTGCGTGCTGTGGTGCGGTGCCTGGTTGTGTGATGCGACGCAGACTTCATCGAGTGCTCCGCATCGTGACAATGCGGAGGAAACGATGACTCCAGAGGAGGTGACCAAGGCCATCGAAAAGCTCACAGAGGAAGTGCTGGAGTCGATTCGATTATCTTGTCGAATGTCTTTCATTACGAGTGTAAATGCCACGTTACCCGCGCACGACGATACAGAAGTTGAGAAATGCGTAAACAAAACGGCGGTTGAGATTTCCGGCGTCACCTCTCGTGGCCGGCCTGCAGCCGCAACCACAGACGCCAATTTGGCCTCGCCATTGCCGTCGTCAAGTTCTGCTGCCAGCGCCTTGCAGGGTCAGGCGCAAGGATCACCAGGTGCTGCACCAGAGTCTGTGAAACCCCCGCAGACAGATCCGGTCAATAATGAACAGCTGTCTGAAGTGCCGGCCTCCACAGACGGTGGTGCTGGTGGCGGTGGTGAGTTGGCTGACAGGAGCAGCCGTACACCGACCGACGTCGCAAGAACACATGAAGCACGCCCAGCTGTTAACGCCACTTCCATACCGACGGCCACTCAGGGGGATTCCGAGAAGTCACCGGCTAACACCACCCGAACACGTGAGACAAACGAGACTGGTGACACCGACGGCAGCACCGCGGTCCTCCACACCACCTCCCCTCTTTTGCTTCTTCTTCTTGTTGCGTGTGCGGCTGCGGCTGCGGTGGTGGCCGCGTGAGAGTGAGGGAGAGAGAGCCGTGCACCGCCCGCACACACACTCGTCCTTCTCTCTCTGTGTGTGTGTCCCCTTGCATGGACTCTCGCCCTCACCTCACCCCACGAGGCACACACATAATGTGTCCATTGTATATATGCATGCACACCCATGCAGGCCCGTTGGTGCTCTCTTTTGCACGACACGCACCGCTGCCGTCCTGCCTGGCTGCATGGGCGGAGCACCGTAACTGTTTCTGTTTTGTTTTCATTGCATTGAGTGGGCGACCTCTCTCTCTCTCCCTGTGTGTGTGTTTTGCTTTACGGGAGCAATGAGAGTGTGTGTGTGCTGGTTGTCCCACGCTTCGGCTTTTTTCACTTTGGTTTTTGAATTTTTACTTGTGTTGTTGTTTTGTGGGCATATTTCTATTAACCTTAATTTTTTTGTGTGGTGTCGCCTGCACTTTTTTTTTTACTTGATTGTTTTTTCGTTGTTTTTTGATTTTGGTGCTTTGCTTTAATAATGTTTTTTCTTCTAATGGTTGAGGCTGTACGCCGCCACGAGTGACGTATTCTCCTCCTTGTTTTTTGTTGCCCACACACGGTGCCGGCCTCACTGCTGTGCCTCTCACGGACTGCACGAAAGGGGGACTGGAGGAACAGGCCACATGCCGCATGACGTGTGAAGGTGTTGTGTGGGCTGGTGGAACAGCAAGATCTGTTTTTTAATTTCCATTTTTCGAGCGGGCAGAATGTGTGCACACGGCTGCCATGTGCTTCTAGGCACAAGAAATAAAAGTCCTGCCCGAACAATTATTTAATTTTGTGAGTTCTGCTGGACTCACACTTTTTTCTTTTTTCTTTTGGGTGACTCGCTGTGGCTTGTTTCCGTTTGTGCTGTGCTCACCGTCACTTTGTGTTGCCGTGTCCCGTTGAGTGTCGCTCTGCTGGCTGTGCTGCCGACATGCCTCCATTTCTTTTTCTTTTTTTGCTAGAGGCACCGATCTTCTACGGCGACGATTGTTTTTGCTCCCCATTGCGATGGCACGAGGGTGACTGGGCGCCGGCCTGCTGGGTGCACTCGGAGGGGAGCGGATGGTGTGCGCCGTGCCTCACTGTGGGTGTGGGACGCCACCCGCCACAACCTGCGGTGAGGCGCCATGCCAATTTGTCATGGCAGAGGGAAGTGAAGGACTTTGCTCTGGAATTGGATGCGCTCCGTCCCTTTTCCCTGCGGTTGTGTGCGTGCGGTGCGCATGGATCTTTCTTGCAGTGCGACGTGGATGGCGTTGCTGCTGCGTGTGCATTCGTGCATGTGTTGTGTGGCGGACTTCTCTTTCTCTCCCATGGCACCGCCCTTGTGTGTGGGCGATTGGGGGGAGCGGAGAGGTGCGAGGAACTGAGCGTGGGTGGCTGCCGACTACGCCCCGCGCATTGGGGTCTTCCACACACACGTGGCTTTTCTCGGCAGCCTTTTGCAGCACCCTGGCCGTGGATCGAGAGGTGTGAGGGTCTGCTTCATGCAGAAGGAGGACAACGAGATGCAGTGCGTGACGGTGAGGCTGGTCCGCATGTGGCTGCAGCGCATGGAGCACGTGCGACAGTACGCGTTGAGCGTTGCGCTCATGGTTGGGGCGAAGTGGCGGCACGACATTGTGGCGCTGTGTGTGTTGTGTGTGGCCGTGGCATGGCGGCGATTGTGAGGGACGTGGAGGACACGGAGCTGTTTGACTGGGAGGAGGATGTGGCGTACGTTGCGGCGCAGCGGGAGCGCATGAAGGACTGCCTTTGCTGGAGGGGCGCGTGTTGAAGTGAGCGTGGCGTGCCTGTGAGGGACTGAGGAGAGGGAATAACAGTAATAGTGACTGTGGGGGTGTGAGGAACGGGACAGGAAGCATTCCTTTTTGTTGTTGAACCGCGCCCACTTAATTGCTGTTGTGTGTGACTCTCATTGCTGGATGGGACGGTGCGTGGCAGTGTGACTTGTCTTTTTTTTTGCTTTCACTCTCCGTTGACGGGGAGTTAGTCTGTGCTGAAGGCTGCACGCAAGTGACAGGAGTGATGGCGATGATGATGACTGGCCGTGTGCTGCTGGTATGTGCCCTCTGCGTGCTGTGGTGCGGTGCGGTTTTTGGGTACGCGATGGAGGATTACTGCAGTGAGGGTGGAGGGAACGGTTTGAGGCACACGAGTAATGGTGGAGATGACGGCGTGTCTCTAAAGTCGGACTGCAGGTTGTTATCCGCTCGAATGGCATTAATAAAGGCGGTTGAAGCTGAGGAAGCTGGATCAGGATTGAGTGTTACACTCCCACCGGGTAAGCCGAAAGAAACATCGCTTGATAATAATCAGGGAGGAGGGGCGCCTGGTTTAGGAGGAGATCTCGGTGTCGAAGGTCAACCAGAAGCAGCAGCATTACAGCCGACGCCTGGAGGATCAGGTACAGAAGAACAGGTTACGGAATTAGAAGTGGTGGATCCACATGATAAAAACGTAGCAGGAGATAAGAAGGAACAAAAGGACGTTAATGCAGGTGATTCCCAACACCAAAGAGCTGATCAATCGTCGTCGTCTTCTTCTTCATCTGGCAGCTCTGGCACTGAGAATGTCAAACAACCCGCTTTGAAGGAAAATTCCAAGAGTAATGAAATCCCCGATAAACCGCCGCAAGAAGAAGAGGAGGAAGAAGAAAAAGATCTTCGCAGTAAATCTGACGGTCGTGAAGAGGAGGCGGAAGAAAAAGAGACAGAAGAAGACAAAAAAAAAGCAAGCAATCAGGCACCAACGGAGACACCTGGAGGTCCAACCAATAAAGAAGAAATACAAACAGCAACAACAGAAACGAATGGACAGCCCAGCCCTGAGGCTTTAGGGGACGTGAAACAGTCAGAAGAAGTCCAAGACGAAAAGGACTCAAACAACAACTCACAAACAAAGAGCGTTGACTCCATCGCAGCCAATCAACCGAATGAACCATCTGCCGACCATGGAGAATCAGGGCCACTATCACCCACGGCAAACGGTGATGCCGCCAATAATGATTCTGAGAGGAGCACGCAAACAACTGGAGACTATGGTCCAGCAGCTGATGTTGCAGGGACAGCAGAGGGAAAACAAAATGAAAATAAAGATGTCAATCCGAAAGAAACACCAGTGACGGCCACAGCCATGAAAACTACAACGGTGACAACTGGCGACAGTGACGGCAGCACCGCGGCCTCCCACACCACCTCCCCTCTTTTGCTTCTTCTTTTTGTTGCGTGTGCGGCTGCTGCTGCGGTGGTGGCCGCGTGAGAGTGAGGGAGAGAGAGAGCCGTGCACCGCCCGCACACACACTCTTCCTTCTCTCTCTGTGTGTGTCCCCTTGCATGGACTCTCGCCCTCACCTCACCCCACGAGGCACATACAATAATGTGCCCATTGTATATATGCATGCACACCCATGCAGGCCCGTTGGTGCTCTCTTTTGCACGACACGCACCGCTGCCGTCCTGCCTGGCTGCATGGACGGAGCACCGTAACTGTTTCTGTTTTGTTTTTATTGCATTGAGTGGGCGACCTCTCTCTCTCTCCCTCTGTGTGTGTGTTTTGCTTTACGGGAGTAATGAGAGTGTGTGTGCGCTGGTCGTCCCACGCTTCGGCTTTTTTTGTTGTTTTACTTGTGTTGTGTTTGAGTGCACCCATTCCACTGGCTGCGTGTGTGATGATATGAGTAATTTGCGTGTGTGCTATCCTTTTCTTTCTTCTATTTTCTTCTTTGAACTCTTGTGCCGCACAGCTGCTCTGCAATTATATCCATTGACGCACGCACAAACAAACACACCATTATGCATACTCTGTAGAGCGGCGTGATTGCTGAGGACGCATGCAGAGGATTCTAGCTGCGACGTCCCTTGCGAGGGAGGAGGGGAAGTCTGCGACTTATTTATTGACACGTTGCGGGCGTGCGGTGGATTGGGTGGTGTGGGTTATGGTGCCTGGGACAAGTGCGCATTGCTTCTCGTCCAGCTGCTGCACGTGCCGATGTGTATCTCCTGTGCGGTGTATACTTTGGTCAGGGATTCTTAGCCTGCGTGGGGTGATGTGCGTTGGAAGGGTGAACAGCAAAATGACTGGCGGCAGTTCGTGTGCTTTGCGAAGGACGGTCCTGTGCTCTTGCATCCCGCTTGTTGCTTTGCCGGCTGTGGGCGTCGCTCGGTGTCTGCTGACGCGTGAATAACGAGACACTCGCCGTGACTCCTGCTGCTGCTGGTGGTGGCAGTCGCTGTGTGTTCCCGGTGCACTGTTCTTTCGTCTCGTTCCGTGTGTCTGTGTGCGTGAGTTGTTGTTGTTGGGAGTGACTGCGGCGGGGATGATGGTGCCACTCACTGTGGATGGGTGGCAGTGCTTATTCTTTCACCCATATTTTATTAGCCTGTTTTTATTCCTTTCACTCTCTTAAGAAGAAAGCAAACAAGCGCTAATTGCTACTGTGAAATTCGAAGGCATCAAAAGGACCAACAGCACACACACACCGCCCACACACATATTTATATGCTCTCACGTGTTGCTGCAGTGAAGGCACCCCGCACACACAACCGTCGCCGCGTGACCGGATCCAGCGGAAGGAGGAGGGAAGGAAGAGAGAGTGAGTGGCAGAGGCCCAACATGTCCCGGCGTGTGTTTGCTTCCGCGGTGCTCCTCCTCGTCGTGATGATGTGCTGCGGCACTGGAGTTGCGCAAGCTGCTGAGCCACCGATACCTGAGGAACCTGTACCGAAGTCACCTTTTGCTTGGAGAGATACAAAAGTTGGGGAAACATTGAGTTTGCTACGTGTTCCCAGTCTTGTTGAAATGGATGGTCAAGTGTTTGCCGTTGCCGAGGCTCAGTGCACGAAGGGAGGCAGTGGTTTCACTGGGATTGCATCGGAGCTCCTAAGGTTGAATGATAAGCCAAAGGAGGACTTGGATAAGAGTAACTTGAAGACACAAGTACCGGAGGGATGTATATGTGAAGGAGGGAAATGTCCTGCCGATAAAGAAGAGAAACGTGTCTGCCGTACAGCGGGTCAGGATGATCCCCAAAGCAAGACTAAAGTACATGTGAGCCGACCAACAACAGTTGTGAAGGGAAGTGATATTTACATGCTTGCTGGAAACTATAGTTGGGCATATGCCGACAATGATCGGGCAGTTGGCTGGGGACTCATGCTGGTGAAAGGGCACGTCAGTGAAGAGAATGAAAAAGGTAAAAGAATTTATTGGAACGATACTTACGCCATTCCGTGGACTTACAAAGGCAACCAACACAGTATCTTGAAGCGGCTGATCGGCGGCGGTGGATCGGGTCTTAAGATGAATGACGGTACGCTTGTGTTCCCATTGGAAGGCACCAAAAAGAAGGAGGAGGCAGACACCGAAGAAGGTGGAAAGACCGTTTCGCTGATCATATACTCCTCGGATGCTAAAAACTGGAATCTTTCGAAGGTGATTCCTGACGATGGCTGCAGTGATCCCTCCGTTGTGGAGTGGGAGGGAAAACTCATGATGATGACTGCGTGTGATGATGGCCGTCGCAGGGTGTACGAGTCCGGTGACAAGGGGGAGGAGTGGACGGAGGCACTCGGGACACTCTCGCGCGTGTGGAGCAGCCCAAAGGACGGAGAAGGGAAGGCCGTTAGGAGCGGGTTCATCACAGCGACGATTGGCGACGATGTTGGAGATGATAAGAAGAAGAATGTGATGCTCGTTACTTTGCCGGTGTATCCCAAGAATGCTGAGAAAGAACAAGTTAATGGAAAGGGCGTACTCCATCTTTGGCTGACGGACAATACGCACATTGTTGATATTGGGCCGGTGTCCGGGGACGATGCTGCCGCCAGCGCCCTGCTGTACAAAAGTGGGAATAATGGTAATCAAGAGAATAATGAGAAGTTGATTGCACTGTACGAGAAGAAGAAGGCCGAAGGGGATACACCATCACCCGGTATGGTCTCTGTGCTCCTGACTGAGCAGCTGAAGCGGGTGAAGGATGTGCTGACGACCTGGAAGGAAGTGGACGGACGTGTCTCCAAGCTGTGCCCCTCTGAGAATGCTGAGCATGATTCCTCAACTGACGATGGCTGCGGCGCTGTAAAGATCACGGATGGGCTGGTTGGCTTTTTGTCCGGCAACTTCTCTGATGGCACATGGAGGGATGAGTACCTCGGCGTGAACGCCACAGTAAATTATAAAGATGGGGCTGCAAAGGCGGATAATGGCGTGACATTTAAAGGACGTGGTGCGTGGGCGGAGTGGCCCGTTGGCAGTCAAGGGGATAATCAGCTGTACCAGTTTGCGAACTACAACTTCACTCTTGTGGCGACGGTGTCCATCCACGGTGTGCCGAAAAGTGGCAGCGTCCTTTTGATGGGTGTGCGTCTTGATGGCGAAAAAAAACTTATGGAGCTGTCGTACGACAGCGAAAAGAAGTGGCGGGTGCTGTGCAGTGACGGAACGACCAAGAGGCTTAAAAGCACTTGGGAGCCACAGACACAGTACCAAGTGGCCATTGTGCTACAGAACGGCACCCAGGGCTCTGCGTACGTCGATGGCCAGCGTGTGTGTGGGAGTGCGCAACGTGGATTGGAAGCAGCAGAATCGCAAGAGATCTCCCACTTCTACATTGGAGGGGATGGAGACAACACACAGAGAAAAGACGTTTCTGTGACTGTGACGAACGTCCTGCTGTACAACCGCCCGTTTTCATTTTCAGGTGAGAATGCCGATGTGGAAGAAGATGCCGATTCACCATCCGTGGAAGGGGAACAAATTGTGGCTCTCCTCGCAACGAAACCTTCTGAAGCTCCAGAGGAAAAAATGGCCTTGCAGCGGCCTCGACAGGAAACTGAAGCACAGCAAATAACAACGGGGGGGAAGCCTGCCACCACACAGCAAGTGCCGACGGCCCCGGGGCCCCATGCCATTGGAGGAACAACGGGTGATGGCGGCAATGTTTACAGAAGCGGACTGCTGCCGCTGCTGCTTCTGTTGGGACTGTGGGGGTATGCGGCTCTGTGAGGAGTGACTGGCTGGCGCGTGGAACACCTGCGACCTCCTCAGCAGAGAATTACCCCCCATGGGAACGAATGGTTTTTTAAAATAATTTTTTTCTTTTGTGTGTTTGCGTTGTTTACTTTCTTTTTTTAATGCTTTAATTTTTTTCATTTTTTTTAATTTTTTTTTTTTTTCATTTCCCCCATCACTTCTTTTTTTGCTTTCGGGGGCAATCACTGTGGATGTTTTTTCTTTTCCACTCTTCCCTCTTTAATTGTTTCTTCCGCACTCTTCCTGTGAGGGGTGCCGTGTGTTTCCGCCCAACTGCTCCACTCGCACACCCACCGACACGCTCACGACGACGGCCCTGTGCGCCTCGCCTGCTGCACGCATGAGGAGGGGCCGCGACGAACGGCGCGCTGAGGGAGCCGTGACGTGTGGGCGTGCGACGAGGGCCTGTGGGGCGGAGCACACATTTCTTCCCTCTTGTTTTGTTTTCTTGCGGCCAGGGCGGGCAGACACCCGCAGCGCCACACACACACAGCCACACCCTGCCGCCGTGTTTTTAATATTTCTTTTCTTTTGCTGCGCTCACTCTCCCGATGGAGTGACGCGACTGCCGTCATGTCTGCGTGCTTCTCTCAGTCCCCACACACACGAGTGACTGTGCTCTGCGGGCCGCACTCACGCGCCGATGAGAGGGCTGAGGGGAGCAGCAGCACGCAGATGACCCCATGAAATATAAACGATGTGCGGACACACGGAGGGTCGGACGGTTGAAAGACATTTAAATATCTTTTAATTTTATTTTCGGAAAATATATGCAGGCAATTTCTGGAGTAAGATGGTAGTTGGGTGCTTTTTTGTGTTTTTTTTTTGTCATTTGGGTGTGGCCGTAATGGACGATTTCTTTTTTATAATTATTTTCTTTTTTTCTTTTCAAATTGTGAGGAGTGGAAGGGTGAAGATAGTTTTTTTTATTTATTTTCATTTATTTTTTTATGTATTGCCTCTGCTTTTTCTGCAGTGCAATGTCATGAGCTTGAGCAGTCTTTTTCTCTTTATTTCTGCCATGCACCTCCGCTGTACAGTTTTTTTTGTGCGTCCCTTCACATGCTCTGCTCCTGTTTTTACTTCTTTGCTTCGTGTGTCTGCAGGCACACGCAACCACATGCACGCACAAAATGCAGATTTCATTCGATTTGGATGCTTCTTTTGTAGCGTGTGCTGGCAGTTGCGGGTCGCTGCTGCTTCCTCCGTGGGCATGAATGGAAGGAGGAGAGAGGGAGTGCGCACCGCGAGTCACTCTTCCTGCTGGTGTGATGCGCGCGGTGGGTTCTGACTGCTGTGGAGGGCCGCATCCTTTCGGTGTGCGCTTCTCCGCCGTTGTGCCGTGCGTTTGCGCATGTCATTTGTTATGCGCGTGCGTGCTGGGCATGTTTTTCCGGGGCGTTGGGCCACCATCTGTCTATGGCGGTTTGTGTGAGTGGGCACGTGCGGATAGGGGTCAGGGCGTATGGAATGAAGGAATGGCGTGAGGAAAGGGGAATTTAATTTGGAGGGTATTTGGACCAGATTCATTTGGCTGCGGTGGTCACATGCACGACGGATGTGTTTCCGCATAATGGGGGAGGATGCGACAGGATTTTCCGAAGTGGCCCGTCAATGCAGTTTGGGTTTCATAGCACTGGGGCACAGTGGTCTTCCTGCAATGGCTGGTGACGGCCTCTAGTGGACCGGTGTATTTATGCTGCTGCTGCTGCTCGGGGAGGCGTAGAAGTGCGATTTGAGGTGAGCGGCGGAAGGGCCACACATCCCGCAGTGACGGTCGTCGTTGGCCCACCGGGTGCCTCTGAAGGTTTTGTTGGATGCAACGTCCTTATGCCCGTCTCCGGATGGCGGCATCCCTGATGCAGCCAACGAACGGGGCAGGGAGCGACGGTGAGACGCAAGCACGTGTGGATGTTTGGAGCGGCCGGCGCACCGCACGCTGAGAGCATGGCACGGTGAGGGCCGGACCCAGAAAAGGGACACC